CAAGAAATCAGAAACACCAATCAGAAAGGACATATGGGGACGGGGAGGGGAAAAAAAAAAAAAAAAAGAAAGGACATATGTATCCCTCTGTTCATAGCAGTACAATGTACAATAGCTAAGATTTGGAAACAGCCTAAGTGCCTCACTTAGCTGATGAGTGGATTAGGAAACTGTGGTACATCTATACAATGGAATACTACGCTGCCGTAAAAGAGAAGGAACTTTTACCATTTGCAACTGCATGGATGGACCTGGAGAGCATTATGCTAAGCAAAATAAGCCAGTCGGAGAAAGACAAATATCACGTGAGCTCACTCCTTTGTGGGATATAATGAAAAACGTAAACTGATGAGCAAAAATAGAGCCAGAGGAAAAACTATTTTAGAAGGCCAGGGGATTGTCAAGGGCAGGAAAAAAAAAGGAGAAACATGTAATACTCTTTGTAATAATTTAAGCAATAAAAAAAATATATATGTAATTAAAAAAAAAAAGAATTCAAAAACACCAGTCAGAAAGGATATATGCACCCCTATGTTCATAGCAGCACAATTTACACTAGCTAATATTTGGAAACAGCCTAAGTGCCCAACAGCAGATGAGTAGATAAAAAAAACTGTGGCACATCTACACAATGGAATACTATGCTGCTAATAAAAAGGAGGAACTCTTACCATTTGCAACAGCATGGGATGAACCTGGAGAGAATTATGCTAAGCGAAATAAGTCAGTCAGAGAAAGATAAATATGACATAATCTCACTCATTTGTGGAATATAATGAACAACGTAAACTAACAAAAATAGAGCCAGAGGAAAAAAATATTTTAGAATATAATAGAAGAAATCCTGTTATTTCCAAATTTTTAATATTTCCTACAACTTTTGTGATATTATACTATTTTAGTACAGTTTTGGTAATATAATTATATTTAAAATCTTTTTTTCTTGAAATATTAATGTTTATTGCATGTAATATATTTAAAATCATTTTTTTTGAAATATTAATGTTTATTTCATGTAAATGGCTAATTATTTTGTATCTACAATCTGGTAATAGATTTATTTTGTATATTGTAAATATATACTCATACTCCATATATATTAAAAAAGAATAAATAATAAAATGGTTGTATTTAAAAAAAAATAAGAATAAATAAAATAATGAAATGGCTGTATTTCAAAAAAAAACTACTAGAATTAATAAATGAATTCGGCAATTTGACAGGATACAAAATAAACACCCAGAAATCTATGGCTTTTTTATACAACAATAATGAACTGACATATAGAGAAACTAAAGAAACAATCCCATTTACCATTATAACCAAAAAATTAAGATACCTAGAAATAAACTTAACTAAAGAGGTAAAAGACCTGTACTGAGAAAACTATAAGAAATTGAAAAAAGTGATAGAGGAAGACAAACAAATGGAAGAATATACCATGATCATGGATTGGTAGAATCAACATCATTAAAATATCCATACTACCCAAAGCAATGTATAGATTTAATGCAATACAACTTTTATGATATGGTAGTACAGTTTTGTTAAGATTATTATATTTTAAATCTTTTTTTCCTTGAAATATTAATGTTTATTACATGTAATATTATATTTAAAAGTTTTTCTTGAAATATTAATATTTATTGCACATAACATCTTTACTAATAAAAGGGTAAGATGCTAATTAGACCAGGAGGCCTTCCACACATCCTTCCAGACAAAGCATTGGTGGTTGGGCCATGACAGAGGCTGTTAGGGGTGATTAGGCCAGGAGGGGAGGGCATCTGGGGGAGAGAAGGCTGGCAGTTGGGAGCGAGCAGGCCAGCAGGAGTGCCAGTTGGGGGCAAACAGGCCGCCGGGGAGGGCAGATGAGGCCGAGCAGGCCAGCAGTGAAAGCGTAGTTGGGGACGAGCTGGCCAGCAGTGGGGGCCAGTTGGGGGCGAGCAGGCCGAATGGAGGGGGCAGTTGGGGGCAAGCAGGCTGGCAAGGGTGTGCAGTTGGGGGCGAGATAGCTGGCTGGGGGATAGTTGCAGGCACACAGGCCAGCAGGCAGAGTGGTTAGGGACAATCAGGCAGGCAGGCAGGTGAGCAGTTAGGAGCCAGCGGTCCTGGATGGCGAGAGGGATGTCTGACTGCCAGTTTAGGCCCAATCCCAGAAATCATGCCTAAACTGGCAGTCGGACAACCCCTAAGGGGTCCCAGATTGGTGAGGGTGCAGGCAGGGCTGAGGGACACCCCGCCACCCCCATGCACAAATTTCGTGTACCGGGCCACTAGTCTACATACACTGAGTGGCCAGATTATTATAACCACACCATTAGTATTTCGTTGGGCCACCTTTTGCCTTCAATACTGCAGCAATTCTTCTTAACATGGATTCCACAAGATGTGGAAAGGTGATGCGAGGAACCTGACACCATGCCTGATGAATAGCACTGTCCAGTTCTGTGAGATTTGATCGTTGTGGAACCAACTGCCTGATGGCTCTTTTAACTTTGTCCCACAAATGCTCAATTGGATTGAGATCTGGTGATTGTGGGGGCCACATAAGCAAGGTAGTGTTCCTCATGTTCTTGAAACTACTCCTGCACAATATGAGCACTGGAGTATGGCGCATTGTCTTGTTGGAAGAAGCCATCTCCATTGGGATACGCCATCAACACGATAGCATGAACTTGATCAGCAATGATACTTAGGTATGTTTTGCTATTCAGATGTTGCTCCACACGAAGGAGGGTCGAAATCATGCCAGGAAAACATGCCCCAAAGCATAACACTGCCCCCACCAGCTCGAAGAGTTGTACTCGTGCCTGTGAGGTGCATGCTTTCATGCTGTTTTCGCCAAATTCTCACTCTGCCATCTGCATGAGGCAACTGGAAATGTGATTTATCAGAGCACATGACTTTTTTCCAATGCTCGACTGACCAATCCTTGTGTTCCTGTGCGAATTGGAGACGTTTTATCTTGGTAACTGCAGACAGCAAAGGTGTTCAAACAGGCCTTCGGCTTCCATAACCCAAACAATAAAGTGTACAGCTAATTTGCCTACAAACGTCAGGTGGTCATAATAATCCAGCCACTCAGTGTATATAAAATCCTAAGCTACCCTTGGAGCAGTGCTATGATGCGCACTGACCACCAGGGGTCAGACACTCAAAGCTCAGGCATGGGAACATGGACCAGACTGATGAATCTCAGAGGAAAGGAGGAAGGGGGAAGGCGGGAAGAGATTCACCAAAGATCTTATATGTATACTAGAGGCCCCCGGTGGGGTCCCTCAGCCTAGCCTGCAGGGATCGGGTTGAAACCTGCAGTGCGACATGCTCTGAGGGGTCCTGGATTGTGAGAGGGCCCAGGCCAGGACAAGGGACTCCACTGGTGCACGCATCTGTGCACCCGGCCTCTAGTTATACTGAAATTTCTCTCTTGAAATATTAATGTTTATTGCACATAACATCTAGATATATAAAAGCCTAAGCGAAAGTTGGACCAGTGCGATGATGCGCAGTGAGCACCAGGGGGCAGAGCTCAGTACACAGGCATGGAAACATGGAACAGACTGATGAATCTCAGAGGGAAGGGGATGGGGGAGGGCGGGAAGAGATTCACTAAAGATCTTCTATGCATACTAGAGGCCCCGTGGGGTCCCTCACCTGGCTTGTGGGGATTGGACATGCCCTGAGGAGTCCCGGATGGTGAGCTGGTGCAGGCCAGGCCCAGGGACCCCACTGGTGCACAAGTCTGGGCACCAGGCCTCTAGTTATAGTTAAAATTTTTTTCTTGAAATATTGTTTACTGCATGTAACATTATATTTAAAATCGTTTTTCTTGAAAAAGAGAAAGAAAATGCCAAAGAAATAAAAAAATGAAAATAAATAAAATAGAGCTTAGTAGAGCCTTTAAAAGGAGCAATAGCATTCATGTGGCTGGAGTTACCCGAGCACCTGCAGTGACTCCGACGGGACGTGCACACAGGTCTGCAGTCCTGATGTCTGATGGATCCAGGACCGAGAGCAGCTCGGGGGCGGCCCACGGGCTCGGGACACACTCTGGGCCCCACGAGGACGCCCCTGTCGCCACAGGCCTGGAGCTGAAGGCCGTCCCTGAGCGCGTCATGGCCGGTTTCTGTCCTGCCACGGGGAAGGCTGCAGCGCCAAGTGCACAGTGACCCCCTGGGCCACGACCCGTAGACGCCGGACCGGCTGCGGGAGGTCGGGGTCCGTGGCTCTCACTCCCCGTCGGGACTTTCAGTCTGAGCCGAACCCTGTGGCTGAGGAGGATCCGGGTCCGACACTGCAGGCCTTGGGCTCGGGAAGCACTGGAGCGGTGCCCAGAGCCGGGGCCACACAGGGCAGGGGCGGCGCCGGTCCAGCGCCCTCTGCAGGGCGGCCGCCTGGCCGGTGAGGGGGTGTCTTCCTCAGACACAAACCCGATGCGGGGGCATCTTCCTCAGACACAAACCCCGATGAGGGGGCGTCTTCCTCAGACACAAACCCCGATGAGGGGGCGTCTTCCTCAGACACAAACCCCGATGAGGGGGCGTCTTCCTCAGACACAAACCCCGATGAGGGGGCGTCTTCCTCAGACACAAACCCCGATGAGGGGGCGTCTTCCTCAGACACAAACCCCGATGAGGGGGCGTCTTCCTCAGACACAAACCCCGATGAGGGGGCGTCTTCCTCAGACACAAACCCCGATGAGGGGGCGTCTTCCTCAGACACAAACCCGATGCGGGGGCATCTTCCTCAGACACAAACCCCGATGAGGGGGGCAGAGGCCTCTGCCTGCCCCGCCACGGAAGGGGCGGTGCCAGTCGCAGGCGTCACGTCGGGACACGTGGGTGCATGGATGGGGGATAACATGCCCACAGGGAATATGCCCGTGGCCTGGGCGCGTATTGGCCAGAATTTACGGGTAATTTCTATTCAACTTGGTGTTTCCGCTCAACCCGGGGCCTCGTGCCTTGGTGTGCCGTGTGGGGCCTCTTCTGGGGGTGTTCCGTGCCCCCAGATCCATGCGGATGGGACAGAGTGACCGTGGCCTTGTTGGGAACCGGGCCTTGGCCAGTGTACTCCAGGTCAGAGGGGTCAGGGTCTGGGGTGGGGGCGCCCTCACTGAGTGACAGGTATTCTTATATATTTATTTATTTTTAAAGATTTCCTTTTTAAAAAGATGTATTTTTTATTGATTTCTGGGAGGAAGAGAGATAGAAACCTCAAGATGAGATTCAATCACTCATTGGCTGCCTCCTTTATGCCCCCTACTGGGGAAAGA